TTTCAGCTGTCAAGTAATTATTTATACTGCACCGATATTGGAAGAAACCGAAAGAAGTCCTCATTCATAAGGAAGTTCCAGCAGGAAGAGATGCAAAGTGTACGTGTGGCCGTGGTGGATAGCCGTTCTCATGCGATAATCTAACGGATATGAACGTAAGTACGTAACAAAATACCAGCATGCGTCAGGGACGGGCGGGTAAGCGGATAAGTTTCGCGTTGCAATGCTCCGAGCGACGCCGCGTCTTCCCCTGCCGCGTTCACTCTCGAAAAGTTATTTGGTACTTATTAAGTAACGATGGCAAGCATGAATTATACTAATTTCGGGATGCACGAGAGGAATCGTGAGATGAAGACTTTATGTACTTTATGCATCAATTTTTCTCGCGCGGCAATCGAAATCCGCGTAAAGTCGGCGAGATTTTTCGAAGTTTGCGATGTTTGCGCCAAGGGAATTCCGGCGTGCACGAGAGAAACCTGGGTAAACGCAAACGGGTCTCTCTCGCGCGCCGTATCAATAACAGAAGACATAATTCCGGTAGGACATCGCGGCGATAAAATGCGAAAGAAACGACGACGACGGGAGGGGGGAAGGGAGGGGGAAGCGAGATTTCCGAGAGTGAGTGTCGATGTCCCGCGCCGTACGCGACATTTCACTCAGCCTCAAGTGTTTGTCTTGCAATTAGGTTTGGATTTGTGTTTGGCCTCTCCACGCCCGCCTACTCAATTTAGCCGTGACACGCGCCGCTGCCACGGAAGCCGGCACTCTCTCGTTGCGCTTCGCCGTTTCGCGGCCACTTGGTAACGAGCGTTACGAGCAGCACGTGTCCGCGCCACGTGCCGCCCTTAACCTGACGCCTAATTGAGTGATTGAAATCGTACCGAATTGACAAGCGAAGAACGAGCTGGCCTTTAGCAGCGGCAATAGTCGCGACGTTCGCTTCGAAAAGAGATTGAATTTACAAATTGCGTTTTACAAGAATTTCGATAGGGTTTTAACGTTGGATAACAAATAGGCAACGCTTGTCACTGAATTGTTGAAAAAAGTTTCAACAAAGAGCCCGCAACAGCAGATGTCGCGATATCCTTTTCAGGCAAGCGTATATGCAACTTCAAGTCAAATATTTAGGGCGGAAGTTATTCCACCGTGAGCTTCTTCCAATGACAATGTATCTCTTAACGTTACACGACAGATACATTACGTCTCGCGGCTTCGAGAAGCGTATGTCGCGTGCGAGCCCGGGGATCACTTGTTCCGAAGGCTCCCCTTCGATTGACAATCGACGGGAGGAAATCGTCGACAACGGTGTCTTTATTCATGCGCCGCGACGCCGCCCGCCGCCGCCGCGCGCCGTCGTGACGAGCAGGAGGAAGTTAAGTGGACGGGCAATTTCTCTGCGACAACAAATAGTAGCTCGGATGGGAAAGGGCGGTGGCCACATGACGCGATTCCCACGTATCTCGCTGCATGCCACGAATCTTTGAAGAGAGAGAGAGAGAGAGAGTCCTACGTTTGCACATCCCTTCTCGTCTCCGCACGGCAAACCTTTCGCCCGAAGCTATCGTTCTTTCGCCGACCAGGGTACGACCGTACCTCCGCCTGCTCCGATTGCATAACAAAATAAACATCGACGCGCGACTGAAATTAAACGCCGTGTCGCGCGACACGGAATAGCCCTTTCCCGTCCACGCGTTGTTGACGAACGTACCACGTGAATTAATTCACGAAAAAGTCTTCCAACAGTTCCACATCACAATCTAATTATCCTCATACGCGGCGGGGGGGGGGATATGGAATATGAATGAGATTAAACACCTCAACGTCTCCAAATAAATATATCAATGAGAAGAATGTAAACCTCGCGAAATTATCCGCGAGAAACCGTGTGAGATCAGGGGAAAAGGGGCGAATCGCGGCCTCGTGGCTAATAAACGAGGCGTTTACTTCATAAGCGGACTATAAAAGCGAAGTCTTCGACGACATGGCACGAGTCGTCGCGCTCTGTTGCTCCCCTCCCTTCCCCGCGTCCTTTGTTTCTATTTCCGTCTATAGACCGCGCGGCGTCGTCCTCCCAACTCCGCGGCGTTCCTCGCGTCGTTGTCCCTCTCGCGTTTGGCGGCTTTTCGTGTAGCGCCGGGATACACGCCTACAACGGATAGAGGCAGCCGCTGGACGTAGGTACGTAGGGACCTAACGGACAGATCCGTGTTTCCATGGAAACCCACCTATCTGCGTCGGTTGGACCTATACTGCCTGCTGCCACCCTGATAAGCGGCTTACTCTCATGGTTCTCTCTACTCTTCTTCGCCGAAGCATCCCCCGACCCCCTCTCCCCCCCCCTCCTTCCAACCACTCCATCTCCTCGACACTCTGCCCCCGGCACCCCCGGTGTCTCCCGCCGCTGCCGCCGGGCCCCCCTTTCGAGCGGCGGGCGAAAGAGAGCGAAACGGCGAAAGGCGGACGGGAGAAAGAGAGGAGAGATGATGCTGCTTTCCGCCGAATCGTGCCGCTAAAGGAAAGCGACGCGAAAGCACGCTGTCTCCGTCGCGCTTTCTCTCCTCTCTCTCTACCTTGCTCACTCTATATTCTACTCATGCTCTTTCTCTCTCTTTCTCTCTCTTCTCTCTTGCTCTTTCAGTAGCGCACCCTCATCTCCGCCCTCTTTCCGCGATCTCTTTTCGTCTACGCGCGCTCTGTGGCACACTGGAAAATTTATGCAGTCAATTACCGACCCGGCAACACGACCTTCGAGAGTGGAATCGCGGACACGAAGGGAATTCTCTTCTCTCCGAAACCGCTTCTTTCTGTTTGGCGCCATCGCGGCCGATCCTCCGGAGTTTTTCGTTCGCCAGGTGCTTGGAAAACGTCGGTTTTCTCTGCAGGGGGCAACATTCCGAGCTACGCCCGACCACGAAAGGCATAATGGATGGTTCGCGCGCGATTGTTCTTCTATTCTTTTTGTCGAGACTCCCTCGAATTTCGATGTCGCGAGAATATTCCGATATTCGCAATCCCGAAGCAAACAAAACACACCATCTCAATTGTCCGTTACGAGAACAACGTTGCGTATTTTTCGTAACAAAACAAGTGTTTCAACAGACGTATACAATTGTCTACATAATATTTGCAAATTTTTTTTATATTCATTTGGAAACGTAAAACGTGCGAGGGAAGTGCACTCTTGTGCGTATTTTTCACTCGCAACGGACAGCTATAGTTAGGAAGCCCCGAGATTGCTCGACACTCGTACGGCTTCAGTCGATGCATCGATTTGCATGGCAATCAATAACGGCGAATATGGCGTCTACGTGGAATACTCTTGCAGCGACGGCTAGCAAGGTGTTAAAATGCTAAATTACTTAACGTACTAATAAATTAAATATATCCATATATGAGCTAATAATGATAGTTTTTAATCCGCACGCAATACAAAGAGAGAAGAAAAGGGCTTGCAAAGTGAGCAATGCTAGGGGCGTGATAGAAAGTGTAGGAAAGGGAGACACAAGATAAAAAAAGGGGGATTTATTTTGTGTGTGTGTGTATACACAATAGATTTTGAAAGCTTTTCCTGCTGCTGAATGTACTTTGAATATCAAATTACTGGGCAATCTACGTCAAATTTTCTCTATTTTAAAATATTTATACTTCCAGTAGATATGCATTAAATATCAGTCTAATAAATGACAAACCAGGATCGATAAAAGATTAATATTAAGATTTAACAGACATTAAAATTTAAAAGATTCAAAAGAAATTAGTAGAATTCATTTCAAGAATTTAAAAAATGAAAATTTATAATTTCTATGTTTATTAAAAGCATCACGACGAAGTTCAAAATTTGATATTCAGAATTAATCGAAAGTTATGTTATTAACTGATTTTAAATGTTTATAGTTTAAAACCTACACATGAGAGTTAACATTACAGTTCATTTTACGCATCATATAAAAATGATTGAAAAATTAAATAATTCTGTTAGGAAGCGGAAAAGTTGCAATTTCCAGTAGAGTCCTCTCTTAAGCGCGGAGAGATTATCCGACGGCGTTTGTTGGGTGAATACAACGCAAAATCTGTCACACTGTTGTAACGCCGAATCGCAGAGATTAAACACTCGTCTTTTATTTCAGTGGATTAGCCGGCTAGATCGATCACCATCGGAAATCTCGCTCATCTTCTCTCCGGTTTCGCGGTATTTCATGATTCATGTAACGTCTCTCTTTCGCGAGAAGTGTTTTCAGAACCGTATTAAACGATGCGGCTAATAAACACGAGTACTGTAGAGAACGGTACCGCTGTCGCCACCTCACGATTACGTGAAAACTTTTCCGTGCATGCACATCAATATCGAACCGTGCGAATCCCTTGCTATTACGACCATCTCGAATATGTACATTCGGTCTCATTGCCAATAAACCTACCGTGTTATTCTCTCGAGCAGGAATGTGCAGGCAATTTCATTTTCTATATTTTTTTTCAATGTTAAGTGTGATAGCCCGTAAGTAGGACGTAATATTTAAATTAATCGTTACGATCAGCTTGTTAAAAATTTCACTTTGTGTTTCGTTTCACTTTGTTCGCTCTTAACTCCGGTTTCGAGAACTTTAATTAGCCATTATTTAAGTATCAATGATTTTATGCGATTATTCCGATATCAATCCCAGTTATAAATGTTACATGCGGTATAACCCTTTGACCGTCTGCATAAAATTTCATGCTGCAAACTTTTTACGCAATCTCATCGAGTTCAATTTCCGATACCAATATATTTTACTTTCCAAGTCATCGTAAAGAAATACAAATTATATCGTTATTTGACAGATTTACTTGACTTCGCGTATGGAATTTTAATTAAAGTTTAATGTTTTGTTGACAATTATTACCGCTTAATAATTACGATAAAAAACGAAGTCTTCTCGAATATAGATTTATGATTAGATTCTCTCGTGTGTCTAAGTAGCGAAATTTGAACTCTCGTTTTGAAAAAAAATGACGAGATTTACCTTGCGGGAATGCGGCTGCCAGTCCATGCTCGAGCGCGTGGTGCGTATGAGCGTGGGGAGTGAGGGCGAAGTGCGATGGCAAACCGGGATGCGCACCGGGATGCGGATGCGAGTGAGGATGCGGATGGGTGCCGACTCCCATCGGGTGACCGTGTGGGTGGTATTGATGTGGGTTTCCGGTCGAGGCGCAGGTTGCGCCCGCCGCTTTCAGGTAACCCGCCATATTCAGGCAGCCCGCGATGCGAGAAACCAGTTCACCCGCCACCGCGCCGTTGTTATCACGCTCCCTTATCGCGTGACTCCCTCCGTCCCGGTCGCTCGGCCACCAGCTGTTCTCCACCCAATGAACAGCGGCGTTCGCGTATGACCGCCTCGTGCTGTCCTCCGTTAGTCTTGACGTGAATTCTTCCGGCAATGCACTACCGCGGCCGTAGTGATAGTCTTCCTTGATCTGTAAAAGAATTTGCATTTAGTAAAATTTCACGTGATTCCGCAATTCGATTTTCATTATTCGTAAGAGGTAATTAATTGAGTCAATATTTGTCATGAAAATTATGGATTAAAAGAAACTCTAACTCAATCATCTTTAACGCTTGTGGGAACAAAAATAAAAGTAATAGCATTTGACATATTTAGATTTTGAAAAATTTTCTAAGTTTCCACGGATTAGCCTCTGGAAAACTTATCAAAAATTATAAAACTATTTAAACTCTGAGAAAAATTTTAATTTTCAAAATATGGAAATCATCGAGTTTTTCACTTTTTATATAAGAAATTAGAAAATTTTCAAAAATTTAAATCGTCGAATGCTATTACTTATATTTTTATTTCCATAAGCGTTAAGAACGATTGTTCTTTTATTCCGTAATTTTCACAAATATTGAATTTTGTTGTGTTTTCATTAATTTAAAGTAAAAAAAAATTTTTTTTTAATTGATTTAGTATCTTAAAACTATGCGAAAGAAAAGAATCGAGAACTTTTAGTGTCTTTTTTTTTCAAATTTTGGAAAGATAATTTTATAGAGACATGCTACTATCTTACACGTGATATAAATTCCTTTAGTTTCTCATCCATATCGTACAGCTCCATTATGACGTTATTTAATGTTAGTTAACGTTATATCTTCGGTTGGCGAAAATTTTAAAAGCGACGGTGCGATTCAATGATACTTTAAAATAATCTTTTAAAAAATTTGGAGATTTTGCCCACTTTTGAACAAGGATTTTTCTAAAACGAAACAAGAAAAGTTGCAGTAATATACAGTAAGTTAACGTTACGAATGACAAATAAACAGTGAATGCAAATTGTTAAAGTAAAAATTATGTATTATAAAGACTCATTCACGAGTCTCGCGATAAACTAAAAAAAATTTAAGATCATTTTTTCGTTATTTACTTGTTCCGTTTGTTTTTAGAGATACGTATTGTAGAAAAAGAAACCAAAACAGTCAAAATGATCAATATAACATTCGTTGGAACTGTAATTCAGTTTCAAGTCTTCAAATAATAAGAATTTCGAAATCGAATATAAAAAATATAAGTACAGATTTGAAATACAATATTGTAAGAGTTGCAGACCGCCGCGCACGTCATGTTATGAAATGTCTACACGAATTGCGCCGGTCCTAATTCCGGTCATCTGAAACAAACGATTCAAATCTTTTTTTAATCTACAGGAATATGATCGTATTCCGAAACAAAATTAAGGAGATAAAATAATTTTTAAAGAGATGGTGATCTTTGAAAATTTTAAATTCGAATTTTCAATAAATTTTTCAACTTAATGATTTGCAAGAAAAAAGTATTGCATATATCAATTTAATTTTTTATTCAGGATAACTACATTTCTATAGATAGTATAAATTAAAATTTAGATCGTTTGTGTCAAATGACTAGGATCGGCGTCGATTCATGTCGCAGTATTATTGTAACATGACGTGCAGTTATATGCAACTCTTATAATATTGATGCAAATCACTTTAAAAAATTTGAAGAACTTGAAACACAAATAAATATGTGTGCAAAATTTCAATACTACAGCTTTGGTAATTTTTATAATTATTTTAATTCTCAAGAGCAACCTCAAAAATGGGGTCTCTAAACTAGACTCCCTAACCAAATGTTCATCTATCCAAAGTGCACCATTTGGTAAAAAGAAACGAGCATTCTATGACTATGCGACATTGACCTACCTTGTGAATTTGATGATACATGTGATATATTAATGTGACAAAAGTGTTGACAATATTATTTCAGCGAACAATTCATTTATTTCACAACCGTTCGATTCGTCACATCTTGCCATTAATTTTCTTTTTCCCTACTGTGTACAAGTACGTGTGAAAAAGTTTCTTTTGAGTTACGAAAAAGAGATACAGTCAACAGTTCAAAAAAAAAAAGGTAATAAAGGGCTATGATCTCAGGTAGTCCGTTGTAAAGAACTTTGGCGGTGTTTAACGAAATAATTTCGAATAAGTTGTCGTTTAAAGAGAATAAAACCGAATACGGTTATTGATAAATCAACACTTCCTTTGGCAAAATCACAATTAATATTTGTTATCATATAACATTTAATATCGATCACCAGATGCACATCACAACATCGATCCTCACACAAGCACCGTCCTACACTTACTGATTTATTCTCACCGAATGCTCCGTGACTCCATTATTCTCCTAGCTCCCACTGTCTCTATATACTGTCATTTTTCTCTACCTGATACCAATACAAGACGAGTTCCCGTTTTCTTGGAAAATTTTTTGGAAACAGGGTAAAAGAAAACTGACCGGTGCGTGTGGGGAAAACCGGCGTATAAATGGCTAGTCGAATTCTTTTCGAAACCTAAATGGAAACATCATATGAAGAGCCCGGATTTGAATTTCCCTCTTGAAGAGAGACAGAGAGAGAGGGGGGGGGAGGAGAGAAGAAAGAAAACGCTTATTAGGAAAAAAAAAGAAAAACGTGAAAGAAATCACCTTCTACTTACCAAAACAAAGATGAATAGCAAGAACATAAACCATTCGCGTTAATTGTGAAATCCGCGCAAATTGATACGAAGCTCGTTAACGAGAAAAACGTTAATCGGCATTGATCAATACGCATTAACATCCCGGTTAACACAAGTGATGATAAAAATACGACTGTTGGCCCGGTGTCGAGTGGTTTAATCGTCTCTCCACGTTGCGGCACGTGAAACGCGGCGAAAAGTTGGAGTCGAAGTGCCGCGCGCGGAATCGACGGTCAGCCTCACGTGCCTAAACCGGAAGTAGTGCCGATGGAGTGGGGGCGCGAAGCGTGCCGAAAAGTCGGCTCAGCCGCGTGAAACTTAACTCTAAACGCTTAAATAAACTTGGAGATGCGTTTTTATCCCGGACGGGGAAAGGGAGACGCGCGAGACGGGGAAAGGAGCCCGAGTGGCAGAGACGCGCCACGTAGGTAGGTATGTTTACACGGGGGCATTATGGCGGATAATGTTTGTTATAGGCGTCTATGCCGCGCAGCCGCGAGAGGCGAGACTATCCGACGTTAAAAGGCCAGCTTGGCCGATCCGCTTACGGCGGATGAGGCTTAAATTGAGTGAGAGATAGTGAACTCTCCCCGTGTGCAACGAGCACGACGCGCGCGAATGGCGCGCGTGCGGTTCTACTACCCCGATGTGTACGCGGCTGCCGTCGCCGTCGCACATGTCGAGCTGCGCATCGCTGTGCTCGTCGGTAATCTAAGCGACAGCCCCGCGATAATTCCGCGGATACTCGCGTTACGCTAAGCAAGAGAGCGTTGCGACGTACGATAAGGAACTTCGCCCGCGTTCGGAGTCGAGTCCCCCGGCAACTTCTGCCGTACATTGGGTATGCATCTCTCCGGTTGGTGCGAGCTGAATAACTTCGCGCCCGCTTGTCTCATTTTTCTATGAATTATAGATCGAAAAGAGAATGTTATAATGCTGTTGCTTCGATTTATCGTAGCGCGATAATTTTAGCCGGTACTAGTAAAATTCAAAAGTCAGCATGCTGATGATAAATGAAATTATTTAAACGTTAAAAGAAACGATTATATTGCAGAGCAATGCTTCATTGTGTTGTCAATTCTGTTGCAGTCGTGTCACGAGGGCATTGACAATGCGCATTACATTAATGCATTCGACTATATCTATCTATCGATTACCAAAGAATTGCACCATCAAAATGAGAATTGCTTCTAAATGATACAATTAATTACTCGATTTACGTTGATTTTTTAATTCAGTTTCGTGTGAGTGAACAGGTCATTTAGAATCCAGAATTCGTTTCTTCAACATCCTATACGCGAATAATTCATTCTACGTTAATCCCACGTCGTGGTTGGGGCGAAGTTAGAATATAGTAAGCACAAGTTCTAACGCTAAAATGTTGCAGTGTAATAAAATCATGATGAGAAAAATCTAAAGAATCGCGATTTGATTTAAGTTGTTATTCTAAAATATGTAAACGGTATGCGTGATCTCACAAGGCACGCACTCGGTGCTTATCGCGCGATATTACTTTTACGCAGTCCCCGATCGCCCTCGTGGCAATCTGCGCACGCAATTGGTGCGTATCCGAATGTATAATATAAACGTTAACTTGATCAACGTGAATTGAATTTCACAAAACATTGTTTAAGGATTATTACGTGATCTTTCATTATTCTAGCAATTAAAATTCTGAGAATTATAAGATGTGCGTCTCGCAATAAACTTTACGATCATCCTCAATCCTTGTGTTTATCTACAGCCTAAATGAAAAAGTTAAATAATTCTTTCAAAACCTGTTGTACCGTTTCTTGTACTCGTTCTTCTCTTTGTGTGTGCGAATGTTAAAAGATCGCAGAAAATCCTTAGTCAAATCCTTTACTCAACGTCCGTAAGAACTGCACAATTCCCAGCTGGGAAAAAGCTGCAAGTATAGATTGTCTGCAGCCATGCGCGTTTTAGAACTATTTTACTCGAAAAAGAAGTGGTTATATTTCGACGAAATATTTCAGTTGATATTATTATAAATAATAATACAATAAAAACAATTATATATTCTTTCATTAAGACACTTTATAACACATACTCTCTTTTTGTAAAATTAACGAAGATTAACAAGACATGTTAAGTATACACTTTTGTTTTCCAACAAAGTTGTCGCTGCACTCGAGACATGCTTAATTTTTCATGCTCTCTCATACAACGTCATCTTTAGGTAAAGTTTCGATCACACGGAAAGCCCCGAGATCGATAGCTTCCGTGTACACGATCTTGTGATTGGACGGCACGATCGATATTCGATTTCGCTGGTTTATCGGTGTTACTTCCGCGAAAATCGTGCCGGCGACGTTAAACACCTCAAAGCTCGCGAAAGCCGATTAGCGTCGTCGCCGTCGGGACGATTTCGGTGAAACGCGAATACTATACTACGGAAAAACTTTGACATCCCTTCCACGAAGAG